AAAAAAAAAAAAAAAAAAAAAAAAAAAAAAAAAAAACACATCATAGTAAAATTAATACCTTCTCCGCTTCGCATCGAAGCTAAAATTTACTTTGAAACCAGTATATAAAAACTAATTTTTATTTAATTCATAGTAAGGTTAGAAAAATAATAATCCAACAAAATATCTAGTGAATAGTTTAAAATATCTAATACATATTTAAATATTTGTTGTAGTGTGACAATTTGTCACTGAAAATACAACACATTGTCCAAGTCCTACATTATTTTTTGGATTGTGAAACTCGCATAAGCAGTGTTTAAACAAGAGGTGATTTTCAGGTCAAACTTCCCATGTCCATCGCAGATTTTACCATAAAGAAAACATAATAAATAAATATTTGTATAATAAATCTGTCATAAATCTCTACTATTAACTGAAATCAAAATAGAAGCCTAGCTGCGCTGTTGTGTACACGTAAATTGATTTATCCGTAATTAAATTTCTCTATTAAATAAACAAGCTGCTTTTTATAATATTTTAATTTAAAACATTATTTTCACAACTAAAATAATACACTTTTTTTTTATTTATAAAATTTAATATTCCACCAAAAGAAATTTTGTATAATATTTTACAAAGAAAACATAATTTATTAGCGTTTTTAAATTTACTTATGACAAAAAATTAATTAATCAAAAATGCCTTTTGAGCATATGTTTAAAAAATTAAACATATGAACTAATTAAATATAATACCACTTTTTGGCTAAAAATTAATTTATCTAAACACAAGAAATTGTTATATTAATTCGCAACTCTAAATTAATGTAACCGAAGTATGGTGTTAATTAAAAACATGACATCATCTTGCTTCAAATATCATAATTAAACTTTAATATTTATAGAAATTAAATTTTTTTTTATGTAGAACGACTTACAAAGAAATTTTTAATAAATAATTAATTCTACATAATAGACTCAGCCTTTTATGAGTACCTAAGCAAGAAATAGCTGTAAACTTACATCATTGAAAGTAACAATAATGCTTGCATGTACGTAACGTATATCTTACAAGAATAGAATAGAAATAACCCATCTGTAAAACTTATAAAAAAACGTATAAAATATTGTCATAGAAACTCGTAGCCCTTGTGTAACCATAGACTTTGTAGGCTTTTTAGAAACACTTGTTAAAAGAATACGTAAGTTTATTCAAAATATAAATGTTTCTAGAAAACTTGCTAGTTTTCCCTAACTACTTAATAAAACTATTAATTAGATTGAATTGATTTATAAAATTGAATATAAGTAGTACTATTTGTTAATTTTTTTATTAAATATGAAGTAATCTCTGATCTAGTTGGACTGAATAGTTTGGTCAAAGACACGTCATATTATTTACCTCATGATATTGAGGTTCGTTTCCGTACCACCCAAATATACAGATTTTTTTGTTCTCTTTTATACAAAAATTATGTTTCTTAGTTTTTACAATAAACATATAAACAAACATAAACACGTATAACTAATAATACCCGTATTGTTGACCTATATGGATTTTTTCGTCAAACATCACGTTCATAAAGCATTATGCAAAACAAATTACGATTGTTTTAAGTTTTTTCTGTTACACAATAATAAAAATTATATTTGCTTGTATCTAGTTAAATTTGTAATTAGCAGAACCCAATCCAATCATATCCATAACAGTATATTCTATTAAAATATTATTCTATACAATACAATTTAAAATATATGTAATTTAGACATACAGTAATACATCTCAACATCAAATTAAAATAGGAATTAATGTTTTTAATTCATACAAATAAACCAGAATACTAATCTATCAAAAATTAAAAAAAGAAATAAGAATATCCTTAGAAAGTTTCAATCATTTCGAAAATCATTCAGAAATTTTCGCTATTTCTATAGATTTGTCTTAGTATATTATATACAAGTGCAAAAATTATATAAACTATTCATAACATCATTGATATCCATTTTTAAATCTTAGACAATGTCAGTAAACTTGATAAAAAAAATGGCCCGTTATTCATAAGTATGTAATTACTAGAACCAATACTGTAGATAAAATGTCAACTGAATTTGATAATAAAATTTGATAAAAACGTTATAATCAGATTTGTGATCTGTGATTTGATATGACAAACAACTGATAGTAAAACAGTATTTATTACACAAATTGATATCAAAAAACATTTTTTTAATAAAATCTTAAAGTTCATACTTTTAAAACTTGTTTTCAATTTGTTTGTCAAAAATCACTTATGTAAATGTTTCTGTCATGTTTAATTTAAGATACACGTCTAGCAACAGTTATCATGTCCATGGACGTCATAAGGGGACAAATGTGTCAGTTTTCTTCTCTTGAATTTTGCTTGGTCAATTTTCATAATCGTTGTGTACTATAAAATTTTTCAAAATAACATTTTTTAGTTAAAAGAAAAAATTATTTATTTATTAGATCATATTTTGAATGCCAAGATTAAGAGCATTGTCTTTGTAGATTAATGTCATATGAGATTGGATTTTACT